GGTTTCAAGCTGTACACTTTGGTAGTTACAAGAGGGACTAGGATTTCAAAAATTATATGTATCTAGCCAGTGGTGGGTTACTACCAGTTCAGAATGGTTTGGCCAAACTGGTAATGGTTTGGCAGCCTGAGTCACTGGAACCAGCAGCGACTCAGGCGTGCCACATCCCCAAACTGGTTCCCCGGGCGGCGCCATTGGCGGCGCCATCCTCTTGTTTTTTCAGTTCTGCACATGCACAGAACAATTTTAATTGCATTGTGCATGCGCAGTTCAAGAGTGCACGCACACGAAGCACACACACAAGTGAACCAGCAATAGTACCTGCCGGAACCCACCCTTGTATCTAGCATTGTATAACTATTAAGTGAGGGAGCTTTGGCTCCTTAATTTTTTGCCCATATATGATTAGCATCCTCTTCCTGAGGCTAAGAGTAAAATTGTTCTTGAATTTTCTGCTGCTACTCTACCACATTGCATTTGAGAAATGGAAGAATTCCAGAAGTTCTATTCCTACCCAGCTACACTTTGCCAAAGTGTAACACTGCTGTGTCAAAAAGTTACTTACTTCTATTTATGAGGCTGAGGAATAGGAGAGTCAATAAATACACATAAAACTGTTTTGAACGTAATGGAAAAAGATCCCTTTAACTTTTAACTAGGAAAAAAGTGTGACGGAAGATTTTTGGAAAACATTCCAAAATACTTGGCAAAAATTCCATTAAAATGTAGAGTAAAAACAAGAACCTACATTGGTTTTCCCCCTAAATGTTGTACTTCCTTTTGATCATGAGATTGGTACAAGCATCTTTCTTTAGTTTACACATGTTTGTGACATGCTGTAGGTTCAGAAAGCTCTGTAGGAAATAGATTATCTGGCTTCAAGCTTTCAGTCAGGCTTCAAGTATACATTTGGAACCAAAGTAGCATTGATATGCTTGTGATGGCCTGGGCAGCTTCAAATAGAGATAATATCTATATTGATCTTCTTGCTCTTTCATCAACCTTTTATGCCATTAATCATGGTAGACTTCTGGATTCGTTCTGGGGTAGGGAGCTGCGGGCACAGTGTTGGGACAGTCCCCCTCCTTCCTCTGGGATCAGATTCAATTGGTGTTGATGGGGGTTGGGGAGGTTGAACCTATTCTTTCTCTGTGCATTTCTCCTTTGTGCATTTCCTTAGGGCCCAAGGCACTCACTCCTCACTCTTATTTAACATCTACATGAAAGTACTGGGACGAGCATGCTAAAGATACCCAGTTGTGAATCTCTGTCCTGGCCAACCAAATGATGCTGTGGAGATTCTGTCTCATGCCTGGAAGTTGTAAAGGGGGGGGGTTCTGAATGTGGGAACAACAAGCTTCACCAAAACCCTTGAAAGACTGAATGACTTTGGGTTTTAGGGCACCCTGGATCTGGTGATTTTCCATCTTTAGTTCTAGATGGGATTGTATTACCCCAGACAGAACTGGTGTGCAATCTGGGTGTCTTTCTGGATTCATGGCAGGAGCTGCTGGCCGACATGGCCTGGAGAGCTTTTGCACAACTTCATTTGTTACCAGTTGTGCCCCTTCCTAGACATCGTACATGGTCACTTGTGCTCTGCCCCCTTGTCCCTCCTCCCAGTGGATTCTGCACTGTGATTTACATGGAGTTAACCTTGAAGAACATCCAGAACTCTGGTGGGTTTCCATTTTTTTTATTACCAATTCGCTCATGTGCGCGACACTTCTGTGCATGAGCAGAAGCATCCGGGTGGGTGGGCAGAGCTTCCCACCACTGCCACTAAAACCCACCTCTGTTCCAGAAGCTGCAATTAGTCCAGAATCAACAGTGCAAATTGTTAGGGCATATCGGTATACCCACGTTACACTTTTGCTGCCCAAGCTGCGCTATATTTGAAGAACTATCTCTTACTGGTTGTTTTTACCCACTCCATCAAATCTGGCAGAAGGATATACACCCTGATCATTAAAGCGGATCCTGTACCTTCTTAGTTGCAATGCCTCCCCTTTAGAACACCATGCCACCTGAGATTAGATCGGCCTTGATCCTGCTGCCTTTCTGTAAAACTCTTAAGACCTTGGTGTTTTCCCAGTTGGAAGGTAATAGAACTCATGAAATGCATAAATTTCTTGTTCATGGATTTACCCTTGATGATTCTCTGCTTTTCATTTTTTATTGTTTTAATTATTTCCACTTTGATGTTCATATTGTATTGGACTCTTAGAGTCACTATCTGAGATGGGCAGTCATATACATTTTAAAATAATTATAGTTAAAATAAATTGTCAATAAAAAGAAAGGCAGTCTGGAAAAGAGGCACTGCAGTACCTGGAGACAGCAAAATACAAGAGAAATAACTGTCAGAAATCACAGAAGAAAAAGACCTGCAAATAGAAGTAGAATGACTGTGGCAAAAGAAGGCAAATATAGGTACCAATAGGTGCCTTGGGTGCAATCCCCAAACTTATGGAGCACCACTTGAACACCATCAGCATTGACAAAAGTGCCAACAGTCAATTGCAAAAGGTTGCTTTGCTTGGAACAGCTTACATCTTGCAACAATACTGCCTACCAGTGACGTGCGGTGAGGTTTATGGCTGGTGAGGCAAAAAGAAAGAAAGCGGCTTTTGGGCGCTGTCAAGAAAGAGGCTTTTGGACACTCCGGCGGTATGTCCGTCATGCACACACACACACACACACACACGCACACACACACACACACACCAAATAATCCCAGACAGACAAACAAGCAGCTTCCCCACCGTGGGCTTTGTTCTTAACTGACAGCGGGCAAAGGGAATAGAGAGAGACGGCAGCAAGGCTGCCTTTTGCGGGGAGAGCAGGAGCTTGGCCAACCATGGAAACGTGCCCCGGGGCTGGGATCCAAGGTGCGCTTAACTAGGTGAGGAACTTTTGCAACCCGCTGGGGCGTGGGAACTGAGGAAAAGAATGGAGGGGAGGGTGGGCGTGCGGAGAAGAAGAAGCGTGCCGAGCTGTCATCAGGGCTGCTGAAGCTTGCGAGGGAGATCTTGAAGCGGAAGATCCCAGGGCTGCGGACGCGGGGCTTTGATCTGGTGATTCTGGGATCAGCGGCCACGAGGGATTGGCGAGGATGACCGGCACTTTTTTCATCAGCCCCGAACTGGGTTTGATTCCCAGCACGCCTCTTGATCGGCTGAAGAGAATGTGATCCAAAAAGGAAAGGAAAGTGTCTGAATTAGGACAGGCAAAGATGAGAATTCCTGCTTGAGGGAAACCCGGTGGGTTTAAATTGAAGTTCGCCTGTTCTTCGTGGCAGCTGCTCTCAATTAGGGATCCCATCTAATTCAAGAAATCTTAATGCATTAATTGGCCATTTTAATGGCGGACATACCGCTGGAGCAGCCAAAAGCCTCTTTCTTAACAGCGCTTGACAGCGTTATTGGGGCCCAGGGATCAATTATCCA